GGTTTGACTGTACTTACCCTCCTGTGCTACTATGACTGCTACCCATTTTGGCACATCCTCCAGTATAGTCTTTATGTTATCAGATAATAAAATCTCTGAAGTATAATGTTTGACATTGTAGAAAATACGTTCCCCTTGGGTATTAAAGATTCACATACCTGGATTCTACTTTTAAGCCATTAAATCTACTTCCATGTCTCCAGCAAATATTTATTTTGGAGCCCAAGATCTCTACCAGTTCCACTGCAAAACCTGCTTGCAAACCAGGGCTCTGCATCTGTTAACAGATCAGATACAGTCAGATGTCTTGTTTTAAACAGCAGTGGTGTGATTTCATGTCCTCAACAGCTATGTGCTGAAAATAATAGAAGTTCACTTGGTTGTGACTGTGCTGAAATAGTCTGTTTTCACATTTTGTAGGTTTTTTTTGAGAGAAAGCCTGTTTGTTGAACTGTAAGGTGGAGCTGATAGTGATCGATGAATGGAGCTGGAAGTTCTGCAGAAACGGGGAACTTAATTTAGAAACAGAATAGGTATTTTCTTCTAGGCATGTTTCACAGCGTACAGGCTGTTTGAATGGCTTTTAAATGCTGTGTCTGTTTCCGCATTATAGGGTGACCTGCCAGCTCCTTCCAGAACCACACTTAAAGGAGACTAAATGAAAGCTTTGCAGTGAAGTTTTTAGTTTGAACTCCATATATAGATTGAAGTAAACCATAATTTCAGAAAGTCTTAAATTACCCAAGTCTGAAGTCTAAGCTTGTGGTAACTGGTGAGTTACTTAGTATCTGTCCCTAACAACTTTCTGCAGTGGATCAGAGCTTTAAAAAGCCATTTAGTGCAGTAGAGCAGCTTTGTACTGAAGGGATTTGGGGAGCTAGAGCCTGAGCTTTGTAATACCTTGGTGTAGGTGGCCCTGTATCTCTGTGCCTCACAGTTCAACTGCCTGTGCCTGTCTGCAGTGGCTGGCAGAGGAACAGCACTGTCACATACATGCAGAGGGTGACACTGCTTTGCCCCAACAGTCATTTTTAAGCCTCTTATCAGTCTGTGTGTACAGAGCACTGTTGGCTGTGGCTGGCAGTACTACTTCCTCTCTCTGCAACTTAAATATTTAGTCTTGAAGTTCTACATTTTGGTAGGTTTAGTACTTTTCTTAAGACCCTTTGTTTGTAGCATATAGCGTTGGTATTTTATGCAAGATATATGATAAATAATAAAACTTCAGATGTTTCCATTGCCAATATGTAAGAGCTGGCAAAGAATAATTTTGATTCCCTTCACCCCACACCCTTCCCTTTTCAGTCCAAAAGATGATGCTATTAAAATGAACTATTACTGGACTTCTCAGAACTGTGTTGGAAGTACGAGTGCTGCTATAGCTTTCATGAAGTTAACATTATGTAGATGAAGCAGGCCTGAAGTGGAAATGGATGTGGTACTCTGCTCTCCTTATTCAGAAGCACCAAAGACCAAGATAATATGATAATGTTGCTTATGTGTGCTTGATTTGAGTTCAGCCAATTATCTGAAATGGAGGATGTTAAGTTACAAAGGAAAAATATAGCGAAACACAACCAGAAGTAGGTTCCCTTGCTAATAAATAAATTCTTTAGATTAGACACATTAAAAAAACTGTAAGGCTCAGTGAGTAACTCTTTTCCAATTTGTAAAACTGAATTTTAAAAATGTTTTTTAAAAAGTGTATTCTCAGTTCCTTAAACTGGGCCACGTAACATGCTGTTCCAAGTACAGGCAGTGCCCACAGAATCTTCTTAATAAACAAAATGTAAACCGGTTACTTTGGAGAGAAATTGTCTCTGTAAAACCTGTGAAATGAATGTCGGTTTCAATTGCAACCTCTAATAGTATTAGACAGAAAAGCTTTAGTTTATAATGAGATATTTGGGCATAACTTTGTGTTCTTTAAGTGCTTCCTTTCAGTTTGCTTCTCTAAATTTATTTTTGCTATAATATCAATTAACTATTAAAGACAATTAAAAGTGAAGCAGAGTACTTACCTCACAAAACTCCTTCTTACAGTTACATATTAACGCTTTTGGCCTCTGCTGTGTTACACACCCTTTTCTGCACTGGTATTCCTTTCTAAGCTGAGGTAACCTGAATGGGTTTCTTGGGTTACTGTGCAATCATTTGGCTGTGTTTTCCTCTGTGGCCATACGTGTATGCAGGGTGTGGAGTGGAACAAGGAACCAATTCCCTTTCTGAATTGGTACTGCTTGTATGTATATCTTGGCTGCCCAGCACCCTGGATCTCTTCTGCTGTCTGTGCCTTTCTCTGGGAGTGAGGTGAGAAAGAGATTTTTGACTAGCTAGAGAAACAAAAGCAGCACCAGATGTTTATCCAGAGGAAGAGGAAGAGATGGAAGGTGTTTGCATCTACCTGTGACACAGGGCACAGGCAAGCAAGAGCACTGCTGTGGTGAGCCCTTGCTGAGGGCTGTGTAGTCTGAAAGCTTCCAGACACTCCTTTTCATGGTACTGTATCAAGGGCTGTCTGCTGCTTGTAGGATAAATTTAAAAAGCCTAAGGAATATGTGGAGATAGGTAATTGATGCTGCTTAATATTTCTCTGCAGTAAGTTTGAATGCAAAGGGAATATTTCAAATTACTTGCCTCCTTGTTCTGCCACCAATGCCTATGATCAGTCAGTGTGATAAACTCTGCTTTCTGAAAAGCAACTTTTGCTCTTACAGTAAGTTTCAGAATACCTTACAGAGATCTGTACTGAATACCTCATCTTTGGTAATGGACGAGGGGAGGCAGGGAGGTGAAGTGCTCCAGCGCAGGCTGGCAGCCTGCCCGGATTGCAGGCTGAGCCTGGGCACTGCTCGCCTCTGTGTGCTGTGCCACGGACCTGCCCGGGCTGTACCGGCTTCCCTTCCCCTCCTGCGTTCCAGGGTGTAGCGTTCTGGGTGCTGAGCTGCCCTGAATTTCTGCACGGAAATCTGCCAGCTCAGGAAAACCAGCAGAAAACCAGGTTGGGATTCTGCCTGGCTGACTTCCCTCACCTCTCGCTCAAGCTAACATTTAGTCCTGCTAGACCCAGGGCTTCACTGCTGTGGCCCTCCTGCAGGTTCACTCCTGCTCTGTGGACTTCTCTGTCCACTGCAGACTCGGCTTGACTCCTCTGAGAGACCCTCACGGTGCCAGGCTCGGTGTGTGCGCTCCCGCCCAGTGGCATTTACACAGCAGCAGGGCAGAAGCCACCAAAGTCCCCCAAAATGACGCCAACCCTTCAATAAGGTTGTGGCCAATGTATTGAAACAACTTGTTTTTTAATGGACAGGAAAGAGGCAGAAAACCAGTGGGGTATGCCAGGAATCACATGGCTTACAGGCTAAATTTTGTAATGACAGTCTCATTAAAATACTCTTTGAGTTTTCTTTCAGAAATGTCAGCATTAATAATGAGTAATTCAACTTAGAGCTGATCAACAGGCTGAAATTAATTTTGAATTAAAGTGTCTTAAAAGGTGACTTTAATCAGTTTGAATCAGCAAAATTCTTGATTTAAATAACTGATATTAAATATCATTATAAATATACAGATTTTTTTTTTTGTAACTTTGTTGAAGCAAATGAGATTCTAATTGGATAACAACTATTGAAGCCTGGTAGCCTGCCTGAAGCTTTTGTCCAAAACATCACCTAAGTGATGTTTTATTTCACTAACTCTTTATTTAGGTAGCTAATGTATATTCCTATATACTCATGCAAATTATTGACTTTTATTTTGAGAATGATGAATAATATATTCTGACTTGAGACACGTTGCACTTTCATAGAGGAATTTAAAATCAACTCAAACATGCAAACTGTCTTTAAGATAAACAGAGCTCGAGATGTGCTGGTTTGGGAAGAATTCTTAATGTGCTTTTGCATTTGAAAGCAGTTTAACTGAACCAAATCTTTTGAGATTTTTGGAACAGATGATTTATCCCACTTAAAGCTTATGTTTACTCAAAGTGGTAGAGGAAAACACTTCACAGTCCATCAGTTTCTGATCCTTGCAACCACTGTTGGTTGAACTGAAGTAATTAAGTAGATTGAAATAAGGAAAAGAACCTTCTTGACAGTGGTATGCTTTTGGCATTTGCAAAGTTTTGATGTATTTGCTTGTGAGTGACTTGTGGCAAGCTAATAGCTCAACCTGTCTGTAGAATATGCAATACTTCATTACCACCATCAAGCTTTTGGAGGCCTGTATGAAAGGTTATAAAACACCAAGTGTCATGGAGGAGGCAAGTGGAGGATTTTTGTGGGAGAGGACAGCAAACAATGGGAAGTATCAAGCTCCTAAGAGCTGCTTGCAAAGCAAAAGAAAGCAGCTCTTCGTGAAGTGAGTAGTAGAACCAGTGGGCTCTCTGCTGCAGACTCTAGAAGATTCTCTGCTGTCTTCATAATGCTAGGCTGATCAGTTCAGCTGTTTTCCTTCAGTTTATATTATTCTTAAAACTTTGCCGAATTCTGCCTAAATCTTCAAATCTATGTGTTTAAGAAACAAATCTGAAATATGTAAAATTTGTTTTTGTTTTTCTTTTTAAGTTTAAACCTGCCCTGATATAAGATAAACATCTGGTTTGACTGCGGAAGAGAAGACCTGGAGAATAAAGTCCTGCAATGTGTTAAACAGTGACATGCCAGGAAATATGGGATATCCTATCACACATTTCTTGTGGCTCTTGTGGACTGGGGCAGGACCACTGAAGATACAGCTGTATAGCTCTGTCACAACTCCACAGCTCCCCTGAGGTTGAGCTACTTCTGCTGGGAGGACTTAAAATAAAATGAAGGTGTGAAGTAAACCACTGTCTGGAAGGACCCTGGCGTTACAAGTGTGTTTTGTACATAGACTGGTGTAGACAGCCAGGTGCTACATCTCTGCTCTGAAGGACTGGGATGCAAACTAGCTCCACCTCAGCTACCGCTTTGATGCAGCTTCCATTTGGACATCTCCAGCCCTGAGACCTCAGCTGGATGCTTTTCTACTCCTTCCTGCCTTACCTCAACATCTTAAGGCATCTCTTTCAAAATCATTTGTCATTTGAGCTCTGCTGTGTAACAGTGAGTGTTTGTAGTGTGATTATTTTGGTGGGTATTGTGGATGTGTGGGTGGTTGGTTTGTTTGTTTTTTTTTTTTTTTTCAGGTCCTACTTCAAATGACTTCAAGTGATGATGAGAGCTCAATAAGCTGAAGTGTTTAGAATAAATTCATAGTTCATATTTTGGATTTCTTTAAGCTTGTTCTCCAGATAAAATGCAAAGAATATCTGCAGAACTCTTCACTCTCCTGTCATTGCAAATCAAAGAGATTTATCTGTTGAGATGATTACATAGTAAAATACAACATGTCCAGAAAACCTTCCTTATAATTTTCACAGATTTTCCTCCCCCTCCCGCCATTCTTATCCAAAATGCTGCTTCTATTTGGTAGCCTTTGGGCTTTTCTGTAAAAGCTTTGTGTCAAGCTCAGCAAAGTCCTTTCCTGTCTTGGTGGGTAAGAGTGGAGCCACCTTGGCTGGGCGGGGTTCCCAGCACTCAAGGACTTGAGTAGCTGTTGTCTGCAGCTCCTCAGGGACTGATGGTCACTTACACACTTCATCTGACTTTTGAGCACTTTCCACATAAGAATGGGGGATGTACTGGCTGCCTAGCTCTCCATATTGCCCGGAACAGGGAGCGGTAGGCACTGAATTCTGCTTGACTCCTTATGGTTGATCTGAATTGCTGCGGCTTTTTTATTTTTAGATGAAGGGATGCTCTGTGATATTTCAGCACAAGGGATGATTTGCTTGTTTCCTTCCACTTCTTGTCCTTAAGTAATTGTTCTTAGTTCTGACTAAGTACTTGAATTTGATGCTTTAAGTAATACATTCTTTTACAAAAGAAGTAGCTGCCTAGGTTCTTGAGGGGAATAAAATGGGCAACAATGTCAAATGGCCTGCTTTCATGTGGACTATTAGATCTAAAGTGGGAAATGAGGAAAAAAGGCCAAGGACCTAGTTCAGAAAAATGAAATATTTAAAATCACTTTGAAAATATTGATCATGGAATAGTAGAGGTTGATTTAAAGTTATATCTATTATACAAATATTACATAAGAGAAATAACAAAAGTAGCATAACTTAAATGTCTGAAGATGAACCTTTTTCATCCTGAAACCCAGAATGAACCTTTAATACAAATGTGGCTTGTTAGCCAGTCTGCTGGGGATTGCTTAATTTGCTTTCCAGTCCTTGGAGAGATGAGATATAGCTGTTAAGTAACCACAGAGTAATAACAGAGTAAGTGAAGCTGATACTTATCTGTGATCAATTTTAGCTGCAGACATGAAAACCTCATGCTTTTTTGTATCTTTCAGCCTGTAACCACTCCTAGGGTGTTTTTTTTCCCCCCTTTTTTTCAGCCCTACTCTGATAGTCGTGACAGCCTGAGGCTCACAAGGTTTACAAAAGCTATTAGCATTGCTGCCTCTCCTGCAGCTTTTTATCCTGATACTTCCTCTTCTCTGTCCTGAGAGTCAGGCACAGCTTTGCCACTCTGTATAATATCTAACGTGATTAGGAGATTAGGATCTTGTGCCAAGGTTGGGTTCCCAGCTTCTGCTAAAACTGTACAGTATCTGTTAATGAAGTAATTGTTAAAACCCTTGTTAAGATAGTGACAGCAAATGTGAGGGCTAGTGATGATCACACACAAACTTCCTACTAGGCTGGGAGACCCTGTGTGAGGTCTGGTCACCATGAGTGATTGCTGTCAGAGCTGCTTGTGTAAATTAGTTCGAGTTCAGTTTGGTTCACAATAAAGGCAGTAAAATTGCCAAGGCAGCTGACATTGACCTCACCGGAGTGGCTGCAATGTGATGTAATCGGGAACACAGCCTACCCCTTCCATCATGTTTAATAGTCCTGTGTCCAAAATAGTGCTGAGTGGATGTAAGAAAAAAAAAAAAAAAAACCAAACAGCACTGCTGCTGTTGCTGGGGCTTACTTTGTCCTGTGGTTGGGTAAGGAACTGCGTTTTGGTTTTGAAGATAATTGGGCAGAGTGGTGCTTACAGAACTGGTTGACAGCCCAGTAAAATAATCCCTGGTTTTACAGTAGTCGAATATGCAGAATATAGTTTCCCCTTTTGATCACAATTAATTAAATCAAGCAAATAGCAGGCTTGTGCTCAGACTATGTATGCCTGTAGCATCTTACATACATATGTTTTTACATTTATTAATATAATTGAAAAACCAAAAAATACTTTCTAGTAGTAGGCCTTTTATTGCTTAGTAAAAGGGAAGAGTTCTGATTTATGCTTCACTGTCCTGACATGAAGGGGATACATTAAGAAATGGAAATAATGATGGGGCTGTGGCTCAAACATGGGACTTCACAGCAAGAATGACTTGGCTGCAGCTCAGGTTTTCTGTGTGAACTCCAGATAGTCGCTTTTAACCTCTTAAGTTCCACTTTGTTGCTTGTGCAATATGACAGCTAGTGCAAAGGGACTGTGCAGGCGTTTCACAGGCCGGCAGCTCTTCTGAAAATTCCTGACTTATCACAGCATCAGGCACTGCAGTTCCCCAGAGGACAGAATGTCTCCTTTTGCGTAAACTCTGTACAATGTGCATTTTCACTTAAGGTCTCAAAATATATACACTCTCAGGTCCCTGTCTTGTCCTTCCTCCACCCAGAAAAAAACGTGTTAGGTATGGTGATCGAAGCGAGGACCAATAGCTGATTTTTAATCTTTTCTTTTTTTTTTTTTTTTTTTTTTTTTTTTTGTGTAAAGGGGGGCCCAATTGTGTTTTTTTATTTTTTTTTTTTTTTTTTTTTTTTTTTTTTTTTTTTTTGTTTCCTCTTCCACCCTTTCTAGGATGCAGGGTTTGTAATCCAGGATGAATGAATGCTACTATGATAGGCGCATGGACTTTTTTTATAACAAGACAAACACTGACACAGCAGATGAGTGGACAGGGCCAAACCTTATTGTGGTGCTGTGTTTTGGGACATTTTTCTGCCTCTTCATTTTCATTTCAAATTCATTGGTCATAGCAGCTGTGGTCAAGAACAAGAGGTTTCATTTTCCATTTTACTACCTCCTGGCCAATTTAGCTGCCGCAGACTTTTTTGCTGGGATTGCCTATGTCTTCTTGATGTTCAACACCGGCCCAGTGTCTAAGACATTAACTGTCAACCGCTGGTTTTTGCGCCAGGGTCTTCTGGACACCAGCCTTACAGCTTCGCTGGTGAATCTCCTCGTCATAGCTGTTGAGCGGCACATGTCAATAATGAGAATGAAGATCCACAGTAATCTCACGAAGAAGAGAGTCACCTTTTTAATTATATCAATTTGGGCCATTGCTATTTTCATGGGTGCTGTTCCCACTCTAGGCTGGAACTGCCTCTGTGACATTACTGCCTGCTCATCTCTGGCACCCATTTATAGCAGGAGTTACCTGGTGTTCTGGAGCGTATTAAATCTAGTTGTCTTCTTCATTATGGTGGTGGTTTATATAAGAATCTACATGTACGTCCAGAGGAAAACTAACGTCTTGTCGTCGCACACCAGTGGATCCATTAGCCGTAGGAGGACCCCTATGAAGCTTATGAAGACCGTCATGACTGTCTTAGGTAAGAGACTACAAACCATGGTGTTCAAGGCTGGCAGTGCCAATCAATGGGTTTGTGTGGTTTTGGTTTGTTGTTTTTTAGATTGTCTTAAACAAAACATAAAACAGCCAGCTCCCCTAAAAAAACAAAACAACACCCAATCAAACCCCTCATCAAACTTAAAAGTACTGGAGTCATTTAGTCTTCTGTCTGCTTTAGATAATGAAATAAGTGTTGCACCAAGCAGAAAAGCAAAGTAGAGGACCAGTCAATGCGGAGAAAAGCATCTCTGGTAAGCAGCTTGTAACAAAACCCAAATTATCTAGAGTTTGTTGTGGGGGGCAGGTGATGGGAATACAAAATCACTTTGGAGGGAGTCACATCCACAGCCACCTAGTAGAACATTTTGAAAATAATGTTCTTCAATATCTGCACAGGGCCATGAATCCTGTGGGCGTGGGGAAAGATATCTTTGCACTCCTTCCTCTTGGCTGTTTTCTAGACACACTTTCTTCCCTTTGGAAATGGACCTTCCCTGGGGAAAGGAGAGGATGCCTAGTGGGTCTGTGACTTTGGCAGATAATTTGATTTATAAAAGGACAATTCACCTTCATTCTGTGAAGACTGCATAGTGCCAAATACTTTCAGATTATGCTACAATATGGCCTTTGATCTCTAGGTCATAACATGAGTTTTTATTTGGATTCTGCTCTAGAGACACTGTTGGTATTTGGGCAGCTCAGATCATCTTATCAGCTTGTGATGTAACTGCTTATTAAATTAGAGATGCACAGAGTAGGTGATTGATCATTGGAACAAAATATTAGCTGTAGCTGTCAGTTTTCCTTGCTGACAAGACTTGAATCTGAGCGAGATGTTTTGTGGAAGCCAGGCTTTATGTGAGCGTGTCTCGTGCAGCTTGCTGTGGGTGGAACTTGGAGGACACCAGGAGGCTGCTGAAGCTGGACTCATGTGGTGGTGGGACTCTAAAACCACAAATACAGATTTACTGCTCTGATGACTTCTGATGTGTATGAGCCAGTGTGGGAAAGCTGGTGTCCATGTGTACCTGGGACACAGTTGTGTTGTACTGCAGCATGGTAGTACTAGAGAAGTCTCACTTTTCATGCAGATAGGAAGTTCAGGCTGAAGACACTTTCTTCCCCTTGTGGCCTACTGGAGACTGTTTGCACAGTCTATTATCTGTATTATCTGGTTGTTTTTTTTTTTTTTTTTCTGAAATAATAGTGTTATAGTACAAAACACTCTTGTCTACCAAATGATGTCTTAAAATGCTTTAAAAACTGAGATCAGTTAAACTTTACAGTGCATGACCTTAGAAGAGAAAGCAGAGTTTGAGCAAGTACAAGGTTCTCACTTATGCTCCTGCATCTTCTGAAGTTGGCTCATCTATTACCAGAGCCTTTCCCTTCTAAATCCCTCCTGAGTTGTCCTTCCTTTTTTTCCCCTTGGGTTTTATGGCACCTGTAGAGTAACGATGTGGTGGTTGTTCTTGTCCCTTCCTTGCCTTGCAGGAGCAAGATTCAATATTTTGCTCCCCCTGAAGCTCTCATACAGTGAAACTTAAAACATCCACCTGGAAGGAGAAGACCCCTGCAGAAAAACTTGGAATTGCTCAAAACATGATCCTGCCCTAAAGCATAAGCATCAGATGGCAGTCTTCCAGCCAGTGTCAGGTTTTCAGTGCTCAACACAGCCATGCTGCTGTGTGGAAATAAACCCTGCTCTAAGCTTCATTTTCAACTTACTATTTCTTTGCCTAGGGAGACATGCCTTAGGAATACTAGCTGATTTAAAGATCAGCATTAGCTTTCTCTTCCTCACAGAATATGGCTTTTCAGCCAACAGATTAAGCTATAATCTGGGCAAAGTATTTAATGATATTGTGTGGTGGGCTAGGCAAATTTAACTTAGAAAGCCTGAGTGCTACTTTAGAGATCATAATTTTGTGTTTTTACTTTGCCAGTCAGAAACAAAACCAAAACAGAGCCTGCTTCCAAAGAACTTGAGTTAGTACATGTGTTGCTGGGTGCAAGATCTACCCCAAACTCCTGTGTCACAGGAAGTCTATCTTGGCACATCCCTTCATATCAGTTTTCCAAATCTTGACTCTGAGAGGCTTTTTATAAATGTTTGTTTCTAGGAATGAGAATTTTTTTTTTACAACAGTTTGTAGTATGTGTTCCTGGCCAAATCATTCAAGCGCAATGTGCAAAATGCATTAGAAATGGAAAACTTGTGTTATCTGGGCTTTCTGATTACGAAAGGAGTCAGCAAGTGACTAAACAGATACTTTTAAAACTGTGGATGCAACCACCTGTAGCTATATGCAGCCTGTGGATTTTGCCCAAGGCAGTTATTTTTAATGGCTTGTTCAAAAACATCTGAGGATGCTTTGGATTACATGCCTAATCTGGCCTTAACTCAAAGCAATTCCAAGACGCATTGTGGCTGGGTGAAGCATGATGAGAACAAGAGTTATCATTAATGTTCTCTGTTGGTTTTATGCGAGGTTCAGGACAAAATCCTGCTGCCCTGCGGTGTGTAGGAGGAGGTTGCCTGTATCTGGGTGCTGATGGCATGCTGCTCCTCCTGTCTTCATCCTGTCTGTTTCTCAGGAGGTTGGTCATGTGACCAGCTGCCCCTACAGGGGGGAAAAAAAAAAATAAAAAAAAAATCACTGCCCTCTCTGGGTAGAGGAGTTCTGTGGTACTGCGGTTAAGAGCTGGGGGAATGAGTGTTTCAATTTGACTTCATGGGTTCATGGTGACTGCAGCTTCAGGTGGCTTTTTGCACCACCCGTTGTTGGGCTTGGATGGCCCCTTCCAGAGGCTGGCACTCAGGTCTCTGTCATTGACCCTTTTCTGCCATAACCCTTAAAGTGATCTGTCACAGGATAGGTGCAGCTGAAATGGCTTTCCCTTTGAAATGCTAAACTGTAGTAAGTTATCTGGTTGAAACTGGAAGATGGGAAACTTAGTAAAAGGGGCTAAAATCCCCTAAGACTGACCTTGTGGCATGGGCCTGGCTAAGCCTGTAGCTTTGAAGAAGGCTGCCTGCGGGTGTGTGGCTACGTGATTTTCAGGTGGTATGTGGTAGCTCACTTGAGCTTGGCAGTGAGATTCTTGCTGAAATAGCAACTTTGGGGTGGATGATTTTCAGTTCTAGTGAATTTAGAGTTTAATTGGTAACTTGCTGTTTTAACTCAGGCACGCATGTGGCAAAGGCAACTGGAAGCTACTGCACTTTTATTTTCCTCAGTCTTGGTAGGCTCATGGATAGCTTTGATGTGCAGAGATTTACAACATGATGCTGCCAAAGTATTGGTAGTGCTCCTGGGCATAGAGGATTGAATTTTCAAGCAGAAGTGATATAATTACGTGAAAATCCATGTTTAAATCTAGTAGAAAATCCTCAAACTGACCTTAAGGCATTGTGATACCTCATCTTCCATGATCCAGTAGGAAGACTCAGAGCTACTCTTCTGATTTGTGTTTAAGCCAGGCTATATTTCATGTCACTTCTGTGAATTTTAGAGAATTCCCAAAAGTCAAATTCTTTTTGGAGTGTGGCACCTCGTCAGGAAGAGGAGCTCTTAAGGAATAAAAGTCCTGCAAACAAGAGAATTGCCAACGGGCTGAGTCAAAGGTATATATTTATGTTTAACCATGGTTGCCTTTGAAAGTTCTTTGGTAAAAATAGCAAGATGTGAGTGAGGCTGTGAGCCTGAGCCGTGCCTTGCTCTCATCTCTGCGGTGCTAAGAGCAGGGTGTCAGTTGCTTCTCTTGCTTCCATACACAGCAAAACATATTTTTGGTGCCCCATGAAAGCATTTCCCAGTAACTCTGACACTGTCACTGCATTGCCCCTGTCCTCACCTTCAGTCATGGGGCAGAGGGAAAGTGCAGAGAGATGTCTGCAGGTGTCTCCTATCTTCCGTTACTTTTACCACTGAAACTCTTCTGGTGTTGCCAGTATAGGTATATCCTGGGAGTTCACAGACTAATCCTGCCTGCAAGCTTGGGGCTTATGTCTGAAGGAGAGTTTTCTGTGTCTTTTGCTAAGTGTGGCTTTGGGGTCTGTTTCTTCTGCTGATGATTTCTGTGGAAGCAGGGTTGGACCTCGCGTGCCTTGTGGTGCATGTGGTCAAAATGCTTTTTGTGCTTGTTCTAAGGAGAGTTTGTACCATCTTAGTTTCTGCATGGAGCTAGTGTGTTGGTGACTGTGCCAGCAACCCTTGGTGGCTAGGGAAAGCTTTTGGTCCAAGTACTTACAAAGATCTCAACTAGACACAGTAGTGTTGTCTGGGTGGTCTGGTTCCAGTGCCTGCTAAAACAGATGTGACTTGCTAGTGAACCCCTGGGTAGTAAATCAGTATTTTCTCTATTGTAGGCTGTATGAGAGAGTTGGTGCCACAACTGCTTGCTTAGCATGCTGGAGCCAAACCAGTGTGTAGTAGAGAAACTGAGCAGAGTGTTGTGGTAGCGGCTTGCAGCTCCTGGTGACAATGGGCAATGGAGCAATAACTTTATATACCATTATGATCTGCCCATCAGATGAGGACGACTGGCCAGTGCTGCTGAAACCAGCCCATGTGCACATGACAACTGCTGGGGTCCTGGGTCCTGCTGAGAGCCAGGCTGCCCTCCCACTGCTTGCTTGCACAGCTCAGATATGGGAAAACTAGTGGCTTTACAAAAATGAGCTGGACTTTATTTCCTTACCAAAATTAAGTGGATACCACCACTCCCGGGAGAGCTTTTCAGTGTGTAGCTGCTATCAACCTTACTTGTCTGATTATTTTTTTCAGCCCCCAAGAAATGGAAAATCTTCTGTTATAAATGATTGGAATTTCCTCAGTGCATTGTTTAAACTGTGACTTGCACAGAGTTGTAATTTTCTATTTCTGTATGTCAGACAGCAATTGTGGCTTGTGCTAAGTTAGTATTATCATGTATATGGCTACTCCTTCATTGGCCTCAGGGTGAGGGTTGACAGACTGTGGTGCAGGGGGCCAAGAAGGCAGATGGGGCAATTCAGGACCCTCCCAAGCTCATGGCAGAGGTCTACATTCAGTTGTGATGTTCCCCCTCCCCATCAGTCCTGCACATACCTGTCCTGCCCTTAGAGTGGGGATGTGCAATAACATGGAAAGATACAAATGCAATATTGAACTTCATTGTAAGCTGTGATTTCTATGCTTTCTTCATGCTATATTCACTTTGTTCAATCTCTCTTCTTCCTTATTCCTCCCTTCCCCCACCCCGTTTTTTTTTCCTTTCCCCCAAGGAACTGATGGGAGAGGAGTGTGCTTGCTTACTTTGCCTCTTTTGGCTTTTATTATCAGCTTGTGTCCTACTTCTGCCTCACAGAGGCTCTTGTCATCCCTGCCTCCCAGCTGAAACATGAAAACCCTGCTGCTCCTGGTCTTGTCCTGTGATTTCTTGCTACCTTTTGAGGAAATTACTCTCTTGCCATTTTCTTGTTCTCCTATCACTACTCTCATACTTCCTCATTCTTTGTCTTTTAATTTTTTTTTTTTATTTTTTTTTTATTCTGTTCTTTGCTTCAGTCCTTTGTTCTGACTGCTAACTTTTTGCTTCACCTTTGATAATTCATCTGTTTGTTTCTTTCTTTTAATTTACAACTTAACTTGGTTTCCTGGACCCAAGTTGTTGAGTCTCAAGTACCCAGCACATCGAGCCAAGGAGAGAGCAATGGAAAGAGGTAGGCTGCTGCTCCAGCTGGGGAGCCAGCAGTGCTGTTGTGTCCCAGACAACGGCGAGCATCCTACAGGAGCTGCAGGGGTTCCAGACAGGACTTGTTTAAATGCTGTGACTCTTGTTTTATGAATTGGGTGTTATGCCCATGGCTTTGCAGAATCTGCTCTAGTATGACGGAAGATGTCTTCTTTGACTCATATTGTGGCAGTGGTAGAAGCAGGCCATCTGGTATCTTCCCCAACATACAAGAGATGGAGAGGAAGTCTGTATTCTAAGTTCCAGTTCTCTGCTTGTTAATGCTCCAGAGCTCTTGTTTGTTTATCAGTGTGGACAAATCACTGTTGTGATGACCTTTTCCCACTGGTGTTTGGGCTAGTGCTGTGAGCAACTGGATTCTTGCTCCCTGCAGGCTTCTGAGACCTGCTCTGACTTATGGTCAGGGCTTGGCAGAGAAGCTGCAGTAGATATAATTTTGCTACTGTTATTAGAATTCTTTCCTCTCCTACTTTCATAATTTTTATATGGAATTTTGATGAACCAAATAATCCTGTAAGATACAAAGAAAACCCCAAACACCTAGCAGTTTGAAGTTGTGGTGTGGTTTTGTTTTTGTCTCCTTTATCTCTAGGTGCTTTTGTTGTCTGCTGGACCCCTGGCTTGGTCGTCTTACTGCTCGATGGCCTGAACTGCACTGACTGTGGGATTCAGAATGTTAAAAGGTGGTTTCTTCTCCTGGCCCTGTTAAACTCTGTCATGAATCCAGTAATTTATTCATGCAAAGATGATGAAATGTGGGGTACCATGAAAAGGATGATTTGCTGCTCCACTGAGGATAGGAGCCAGGAGAGACGCTCATCACGGATCCCCTCAACAGTTCTTTGCAGGAGCACAGATACCTCGGGACACTACATTGAAGATGGCATTATTCAAGGGACAATTTGTGGAAAAGGAGATCTTGGTGACAAAGGAAACTCCTGAGCTATTAATGGAACTGACTTGGCTGGAAAAGGAGGAAAGGGGGAAGGGAGAGGTTTTGTAAAAGAAGATTGACTAGCAAAGCTAGCAAACAATATATTCACTTTGTTCCAGAGCCTAAACTGCAGTGTTAACAAAAGTTCTTATAAGTAATTGCCTGGTGGAAAAACACTTTGTAATGAAGAAAACTTTCTGTGCTGCCATCTTTCTCCTTTTAAGTACATTAATTTTTTTTTTTTTTTTGTATGAATGGAATAAATACATCTCAGAGACTTCTTGTGCATTGAAACAAAATGTAAGCAACGCAGTGAGACAGTCCTTAAGCTCCTATGGAGGGAATAAACCTGCCTTACTGTGCAGGCCGGGCATTCATTGAGTATTTATGCTTTGAACAGTTTCTGTGCACCTTGAGGATTGTAGGCTTGGCTGGACAAAATTATGACCTGTTTGCTCAGTTTACGTAGTTCATGAAATAGTTCATACTTACCTTCTCTCTTCTTCCTCCTTATCTTGCTTTCAAAATAGGTAGTTTGTTGATTTATTAAAGCAATGCCAGAAGCCTGGCTGTGATGGGAAGCCCAGATCAGACATCACTGTGCGTGAGTATGTCCGACCGTGGATTCTCAGGATCTGAGAGTACAAAAAGCACAAAAGCCATTATTCTGTAGTGGAGTGAATGCTGCAAGGAGATACATTGCACTCTCTGCTGCTTTTATGTGGGCAGGCATTGAGGGTGGATTAACAGAAGAGAAGCATGACTGTGTTCATTATGTGCATTTCTTACTTCCCCAGATAACATCAAATGAGTGTGCTCACTCCTCTTTAACTGCTATGCCACTAAAAGACATTAAATCCCAAACTCCATTTTAAGAGGGTGAACTTTTAAGGGAAGTTTGATCATAAAGGTTCGATCAAGCTATTTCAAATAGAAATTAGTTCACAGGAAAAAAACTTGAAACCAACCGAAGCCCCTACAAGAGTACAGTATGCATTGATTGTCTGTGCATGCCTGGACCACGTTTAACCTCTGATTTTTCAAGCAGATCTTACTGGAAGGTACTTGAGGGAGAGGACATGAAATGGTAAGCAATGAAGGGTTTTCAGCATTGTGACTAATCACTAAACATCGGTGCAGCTGCAGCCCAAAAAGCTGAAGTTTAAACTAATGGAGTATGCTCTAATGGAGGATCCAGCAATTTAAAGCTCTAGGGTAAAGTTTTAAAATTTAAATTTTAAAATTATAAGTTGGAATGTAGATTTCTTGGTACTCTAAAAATCTGGCTCTTGCTGTCTGATTTCAACAGCGGTGAGCTTCCCACTACCTGCCTCAAGTTCAGGAAGAGTTACCTGTGTTCTAGACAAAGTCTGATCCCTGGTATTAAAGCAGTTGACCACGACCAGAAATCACTTTGGAAAGTTTTGGAAATTTTGACCGCTTGGAATTGGAGAACAACACCAAGAGCATGTTGTACATGACTGAAAGATAAAGATCAGTTGTGGTTTGGTCAAATTCTTCCTTTGGTGCAACTTGCATGTGGATATCTAGACTGTTGGGTCAAAGCAGAACCAGCACTTGGCTCAGTGACCAAGCTGCAGTTTTGTAGAAGGTACTGTGGGATTTCACAGCAGGCCTCAGCATATGAACAAGCAAGCCCTTGTTCAGAGAGCTCTCCCATAACACAAGGTGCCTTGTGGTGATATGGCCTAATATTTCAAGGTAAATGCTGTATTTACAAGAAATGCAGGAAAGGATTACACACTTTTTTTTTTTTTTTTTTTTTTTCATTATAATGCAACGTTCTTGTGCAAATACTACTTTGTTAGTTTGGTGTTTTGAAAAGTATGTGAAGTGGTGCTTTCTAGAGCTGGTGGCTTTGCAAAGGCGTAGCATGCAAGCGTTCCTGTCCCTACAGCTACCTGCACTGCACAGTTTGTCTTAACTAGGCTGAAGCTCTGTAAACAAAGCTAACAAAAAATAAAATGCTACTTCAAAATAAAATACTTGTGTTGTTTCCTGTTTGGATGGTAACTGAACATTACCTGGCACTCCAGTCAGCAGTTAAGGGTTGCTGTTACTCTTACACATTCCCACAGATCTGTCCAAGCTAAAACTGATCAGACTCGAGATAAAAATGAAGATGGGGAAACTTTGCTTCATATTGCCACAGGGAAGAGAGGTGGGTGTTGTTTTAATAAAGTGTACATGTTTACTAGCAATGCTAGGTAGTGTAATACTTGGTGGAATCAGGCCCTGAAGAGAGTTTGGACAAAGATGTGAAACATCTGCATCAGTGGAGAAAACACTGGGTCTTTCCTGCAGAGCTTTGGGTTTGGGCTGAAAAATAACTACATGTGGATGGTTTTTGCAGGTAAGCAGGAAAATGTGACTCCTGTAAAGGGTAAAGGACTTCATTGTCTGTAGAGCACCTCATACAATGGACTCCTAGTCTGGATTAAGATCTGAGAAGTATTATCAAACATTCTGCTCCTAGTAAGAGGGAGGATTTGAGGTCTGCACTCTTACTCTTTCTGTTGTCTCATTTAAAAAATAAAAAAGGCCAGCAAAACAAACCCCCAGACAAAACAGCCCCCAAAACCTTGCAAATCAGTGTTTTGTGAAAGGTTCTGTTTGCAGTGTCATGCCATCTGTCTTGGCATGATGTTTCCCTCAGAGTTGCTGCCTCATTTTCTACTACTATAAATTTCAACATATCATAAAAGGAACAGGAAACTCATCTGGCATCAAACTGCTACAACAGAGCCTGTATAATGTTTCCTATATAAAACTGTCTAAACATCCAGCTACTCGCATATCAGGGAATTTCTTTTTAACTCTGTAAACATTTATCAGAATAGTTTGTCTCAAGAAAAACATTAAAGCACAATTTGTACTTGAGAGGAAAACACAGAAAAATCAAAGACCAGTTGCTGATGGCAAGTTCTACAGGGTTTTTCTGTTGCTTTTTTCACTAGTATCCCAGAACAACGGATAATCAATACCTATTGACTTTGCATGTGCCTGCTCCTATTTGTGTGTGCCAGTGTACTGATGTGTGAGATGAAATTAATTCTTTTGGCAAAGGCTTTAGTAAACTGGAGGACGGTAATTCTTAGAAGACAGAGGAAGGCAAGGGTAGAGATATCATTAAGTTGGATAGTTAGTTACAGTGTTTCTGGTGATGCTGGAGGCCCTTCTGTGTCTAAAGAGCACCTTGAAAGCTTTTGTATTGCAGTAAGTAGCAAGCAGATATTTCTAATACATTTTCACAGCAATTATGGTTTGAAAGAACTGTGTGATATTCTTCTCTTTTTCTCCTCTCCAGCTGCTTGTGTCCCAAACCAAAGTTGCTCTTCCAGTTGATTAGTGGGTCCAGGAAGAAACGCTCCATGGCTTTTCCCAGGGCGAAGATGTATGGTCTGTCCTCCGTGGTTAGCTCTCCCATAAAGCCTGTGTGGTCACGATCATTAGAGATGCTTTTCAGAGAATTATTATTAAAAGCCAAGAACAATGGGGTTTTATTTTACACGATAGATCTTTTGAATCTTTCTGGATAAGCAGCTAGACTGATCGTTGTTTAATAACTTTGTGTGTGGGAGAGAAGTTTCTCTGGTATCTGTGCTGTCAGTTTGACCTCGGTGGTGTGGGTGATGAGTCCCTTTGGGAAAGCAGCCAAATTGCTATGGCTTGAGTGGCTCTGAAGCATGGCTTCTCCACTGCTTTGGGGATGCTTTACCATGACTACTTTCCCCTCAGTATAGGTTTTTGGGATCTTTTTTTAGTAATTACTGTAGATTGGTGAAATACATCTGTGTCTGTGCATATGGCAGTTTGTGCATGTATTTGTGAACTGCAATAATTACTGCAGCTGTTTGATGTGATGGTGCCTTTCTCTGATTGGATCTATATTTTATATATATTTATACATGTGGGCTTGGTTTTGGTTTTGTGTGTTTGGGTTTTTTTTTTTAAATAAACTTAAAACTCTCTTCCAAGTAACAGCAGAAGTATTGCGCCTATACTTGTGATTCTTCCAAAGTTCAGTAAACTCTGTGTGAAGATTTCTAAATTAGTGGTTATTGGAAGCCAATGAAGGAAGGGTTATTTTAGACTTGTCGTTTTTTTTGACTATTGGCTGTTATCCTAGCTGATGCAATGCAGGGTCAGCCTTTAGTATGGCCCCAAAGTAGATGCTGCTTGCAAGATTAGAGCCCAAAAGTGAAAATATAGTAGAAAGAAGGCAGCAGGGAAATGCTGTTATTTATCCTAGCCTGTAATTCTAATTAATGTTTTAATGTTTGAAAGAAGTGATCCAACTTTCTCCCTTGCACCCACTCCCTCCGTATGCTGGTGCAGCTATCTGTGAGACCGTATGGTGAACTGTAGTGGGTCTGAAAAAGGAGCCCATCATTGTTAGTAACTATAGAGAAGATTTGTTTGCTTGTCATGAGTTAGCAGCTGCATTATTTCCTCAGTTCATTATATAGGGTCACACAATGATTTGTGTTCTAGAAATCTTTGTAAAATACAGTCCCCCTCAAATGCTACACTTTGCAGCAAGTAGGCACGCTTCTATTGGCTGGGGGGTGGAAGAAAAAAAAAATCTATCTATCTGGAAACAAAGAATTAGGTCATGATAGTCTTCCCTCCTCAAGGTCTTTTGAAAGATAAGGAATTCAGACACTTCTATGCTTTTAGCTATTCTTCAAAACATCCTGCTCATCTTTCAAGTAGTGATTGGTCCCTGGGCTTCTTTTATACATCTTTTTATTATATTGAGGGTCTTTTTTCACTGCAGCAGGCAGAAGCATGTTTTCTTCCAACCTACTACGAAATGTTATTTTGCAGCCCATGGATATGCTATTTTGAATTGTCTTCTATATGCATCTATGTACCTTCTCCTGTGTGTGATGAAATAAATTCATTTTTAAACTAACCTCTGCTGTGTTCACCACAGATAACTGTGCTAGGACCAGCTTTCTTTTTTTTTTTTTTTTTTTCTGAG